CCACACCATAATAAAACAGTTTGTATCCCCCTCCAATGCTACGCGCTTTGCTACCCTTCCACCTGGTCTCCTGCACACACAGTATATCTACCTTCCTTCTCTCCATCATGTCCACCAGCTCTGTACCTTTCCCTGTCATTGTCCCAACGTTAAGAGTCCCTATTCTCAGACCTATACTCCTGCCTTTCCTCTTCTCTCTCTGTTTACGAATCCTTCTGCGTCCTCTCCTTCTTAGTAGTCCAATTTCCACCAGCACCCTGTAGGTCAACAGCACTGGTGGTGGTCGTTGTTAACCTGGGCCTCGACCGATCCGGTATGGAATTCGCACTGATGATTCGCATGTTTAAATTTGGCATGTTTTTACGCCGGATGCCCTTCCTGACGCAACCCTCTCTATTTATCTTGGACTTGGGACTGGCACAGAAGTCACTGGTTTGCAACCCCTGTGGCTAGATTTGGCGTTGTCGGCAGGATCCAACCTCTACACAGATAAACATATAAAATATAAAAAATGAATGCACACACAAACCTATTGAGATGTTACACACACTCAGACTTCAGCCTTTCTCTGCACACAAGACAGATGTAACTTGTCAGGAGCATAAACACTTTTCCTAGCATGCCCCTTTCCAAACATTAAGCATCTGATAAGGGTGCATACAAATTTGTTCGTGAATACACTTCAGCAGAACACACATAAATCCACAAACCCACATACAGAAGGCTAATCCATTAGGTTAAGAATGCTGTCAGTGTAGTGTTTATGCCACGCTCTGCCACACAGAAACACTACAAATGACGTAAACCCTCTACAGTGTGCGGGTCTGCAATGGCAGCAGAGCAGTGGCCACCATGTGGCTGTGTGACCATCCTGAGGGTGCACAGTTTCACAAAGCATGAAGGTACTGAAGCTCCGTCAAGTTAACTCAGATCTAATGCCACAACCCAGACACTGCAAGTGTGCATTTCTTTGTGTTAACCAAGCAAAAAGACACAAAATCAGCAGTATTTGTGTTCTGTTTTTGTTTGCTGTGACACTGGTGAAGGACAAAAGGAATCTGATAGAATCTATTAGAAGCTGCACAAATAATACTAAAGACAAAAGATTAACGTAATACTTTACTTTTAACAGCAGACCTTGAATGACTATTTATCCTAACTTATCTTAGTGTCTTGTATAAAGAATGTTACAGTTTCACCTCTATTTTTTTGTCTGTCTGTAGTTGTTGACTAACAAAGTTCAAGTTCAAAGTGTTTATTTTGTCATATGCACATTTAGGAAATGTGTTTCCCTGTACAATGAAATTCTTACTTTGCTGTCCATATGAATGCTACAAAATACAAATGAAATATAAAGTAGATAAATAAGTAACACTAAATCTAAGGCACTTTAGGCAGCAAATGCAGCAATATAATAAAAAATATATAAGAATATAATAAGAGAATGTATGCTGCATGGGAGCAGCATGTGCAGCAGTCAACAGTC